ATTCCCTCAGCACTGCAGCCATGGCCCAATTGTGCTGTGTATCTGATGCCCTTTACCCCTTTATCTCTGTCTCCAAATCACCTTAGGCACTGAAACAGGGTGAACGCTCCTGGGCATTTGGGGGTTTTGGGGAATTTGTGTACCAAATACGGTATGCAGCTTCTGACCATGTGCTTTTTCCATTGTGTCCATTGGAAGCCAGAGGGGCAGACTTTGCTTGGCTCTTTGCTGCTCCCCCACCAGCAGAGAATAGCAAGGACAACCCTGTGAGCCTGTGGGCGGCGGGGGGGGGGTCCCTTCACCCTTGAGCCCCCCTGCCTGTGACCCCTTCTCTGACTGTGGTGTTTCAGCTTTCAGATCTTGGAATGAAGGCTGTCCTTAAACTCACTCCAAGCAGAGCTCTGTTCACTGCAGAGCTATTTTCAACTTTGGTTGAAATTCACAGCTTATTTTTAGGCACATTTCATGTTGAAAAGCAAAAGCCATTTCCCAGCCATTCAGAAAGAGAATAATGGGTGCCATTTTCCTTCTGTTCTTGGCTGAGTTGTCCAAACGAGGGATTTCAGGGCTTGTGGCTGGAACACTTTCTCTGTTTGGTAAGTTGCACATGAAGGATTCCAGGTCATGCTGTGGGCTGAAAGTGGGCAGGAATCTCCATGCTCTGTCCTGAAAGAAGGTCGGAAGGGCTGCTTTGGGGCAGATGAGTGCTTCCTAGAGGGGTATGGCTGGGTACCGCAGAGGGCTTCTCTGTAGCAGATGCTTGCACTGGTGTTTCAGGGTCTCATGTTTAGCCCTGTCTCCCGCTGCAGCCCTGGCCTCTGCCCTCTGCCCTTACCCTCCTGCTCTCTGTCCCTTAGGCAGAAGAACCCTGGATTTTGGAGTAGCATCTTGTCCTTCCCAAATCTCAGGTTCTCCAGGACAGATTTCTACCCCAGCTGCAGAAGTACTTTTAAATTTTTTTTTTTTTTTGGACAAGGTCTCACTGTGTAGACCAGGCTGATTTTGAACTCAGATCTTCCTTCCTCTGCCAGCATGTTGGGATTAAAGATATGTACCACCATGCCTACCTTATTAAGTTATTTCTAATTAACAAAGGTGCATTATTTG